AGGCTTAATTCAGTGTACCAAATGGAATAAAATTTTATAAACAAATTTAGAATTTGAAAGAAAATTAGTGAAATTTTTAGTCTAAGTTCATGATTTTAGAGTTGAGACTATCCAGGCATTTAAAATATTTTATTTTAAAAAGTAAAAATAAAGAGCTTTTATTTAAAATATAAATTTAAATGTACTTTTCAATAAATGTATCTAATAAGTTTCAAAATAAGTTTGTGAATGCTATATATAGAGAGATTCATAAAATAACTGATAGCCATCATCATTTAATCATGCATATCCCATACATTCTACAGGTTTAAAAATGACTTAGGAAAAGCTGCAAGTTTCCTTTTAAAAATACTGAACAAATAACTCATAAAACCTTAGCCATGAAGCCGCTCTTTTTGCTTCAATACTTTTATTGTGACCTCTATTGAACAGCAACAGGATGAAAAATCTATAAAATTCATATTGCAGTGACCTAAAGGCTGAAAAATAGTCAAAAACAAAATAGTAATGGTTGCATGATTCTTAATTGTATTTGGTACTGAAGAATCTGAATAGAGATTAGCTGTGCAAGTAACTGAGAAGAAAATACTAATTTACTTGAAAGCATATTTCCCTTTATTAGAATTAAGAAATGGGCAGAATTCTGTAATTGCATCCTTGGCTTAACTAAAGTCATTTTGGAAAATAATCATTTTATATAAAAAATTATTTGATTTCCTTTTTTTTGTACTAGAAATGTGTCTTATAGTGTCAGATAAGGTGAATAATATTTACTGGGTAAATGTATAGATCATTGAATAGATGATGGGATAAGTGAGTTTCTCATGAAGAGAATAGTTTTTGTTCATATTCTAAGTATAAGTGAAAATTAGCTCTCCTCCATTTATTAGAAAGTTGTTACTGGCCTGGATAACACTGACCAGGCAAAGTTCTTTAGATTCTCACAGGATGGTCGCCTAAGGAGCAACTTGTCAGTTTTTACTCTATCATAATTGTAGCCATACATTCAGCTTGCACTTACAGAAACCCAACTCTGCATCCTCTGATCAAGACAGAGGAAATTGTGTTGGACTCAGTCAGGCAGAAATCTTTCCTCCACCAATGAGAACAAAGCGACTTGCTTAGCCATTCTAGAGTGCATGTGATAATGTAAAGAGAGACTCAAAATAAAAGTCTTTATGAAGTAAAAGATACATTCTTTCAATGCCTTCTATGAAAATGTTGCTAATCTAAGTGATGATGAATCTGTTCATCTGAGGCTTCATTCACCTTCACAGAAAACTAGGAAACACGTGGTCACACATGATGGTTTAGTCTTCCTCCACCCAGCTGAGGAGAGAATGAGTAATGCTAAAAACAATTGTAATAGAAAAACTATGTGATGCTTTGAAAACTGATACAAGTCAGATTTCTTTGGGATAATCTAAGTGAGCAGACTCCATTAATTGGTCAAGTCAGGTGCCAGAATGCAGGCAGTGTCAATGGCTGTGTTCATATTGTGGTCTCTTTATATGACCTCCTGACAAGCAGTCATTTTTTTTAGGATTCTTTCCTCTCATGCAATGTTTCTCAGTGAGCACTGCTAGCCTTTGGAGAGAGAACTCTCCTTTTTAGAGGAGGCATATACCACTTATTGCAGTGCTTTCAGCATCCATCTGACCTTCACCCATTAAACACCAATAATATATTTGCCCACTCATAATTTGTACTACTCCCTAGAAACAGTGAAGCCCATCAAGCTAATGAAAGACAGATAAATCACTGACCCCTGCAGCTGGTGACTTATGTTAATTTACTTTCTACCAGTGGTTACTAATGCCTTTCATACATCTAATATCTAAAAATACTTGAAATTATATGAGAGGTGGATTACCAGGTGATTTATCAATTAAAAATACAAGACACCTGGCCCTCCCTGGTGGTGTAGTGGGTTAAAGCACAGCACTGAGAAGCTAAAGCCACTTCCGCATGAGTTCGATTCCCACCGGTCCTGGAGGAGATCCACATGGCATGGCAGACCTCTCCTGGCCCGCCCGCTGCTCCCCTCAGCAGTGTACTTCGTTGATCTGTCTGTTTTGCTCCCCACTCTTGTCTCTGGTGAAGCCTCTCGCCGCTCCTGAGCCTCTGGCCTGTACCCCAGTTCTGGATGTACAAATAAATAAATCTTAAAAAAAAAAAAATACAAGACACCAGTTATCTAGTAACTTTATATCTAAGACAAATATAATATTACTGTCATCCTAATTTCTCTTTAACCCATCAACTCAAGGTCAGAAACTGGAAAACTCAAATATTTGAACTTTAGAAAATTATGTGCTAAGTGATACATCCTATTTTTGTATAAAAATACAGTTTTGTATTACTCGGTATGCATTTTCCTGAATATAACTGAAACAAAAGACTTAGGGAATTATGCATTTCTCCTCTTAAGATATTAGATACTGTTCATTCTTCATCTATGTTATAGTTAATAAATTAGAGTTACTTCAAAAAGTCAGAGAAAGTAATTTAAGCAGTAGGACAAGCTAGACTAAATTTATTTCATATCAAGTTCCAAAATGGTCATGGGTGTAATTTCTTGTGCACTAATAGATGTGATAACAAAGTAATTTGAGGTTTCCTTACTAAATTGTGAAAATTGAATATATATTCATGTACACCAGCTTTTCTGCTTGTTTGCTTGCTTGATTCAGATATTAAAAAATGACATTTCCTTAAGGAAGATAAGCCATGATACATATAAGACCTTATAACCCATAGTAAAGAAACATCATAGAACTACTATGAATGATGCAGCAAACAGAATAATTAAAGCTGCTATTAAATATGCCACAACAACCAAAACAGTAATTATTGTAGTCATAATAATGAAATATTTGTATGTAGTTTCTTTCGAGGAGTTAAATAATGAACATCTTTCCTAAGTTAACAGTTTTGAGTAATGTTGGCAAAAATAAAAAACTCAGATCAAAATCTCCAAATGTGAAGCATATTAATATTATCTATAGTACTGCTCTACCTGCTTTGGGTTTTCTTCAGTGTGCTTTAAGGTAATTACATGTGCATCCTTTTTCTTCCCCACGCATGACTATATTAGTCTTTTTCTTGTGATTTGGGACTCTTGAGTCAGGCTTCCTATTACTTGACTTCAACAGATTCATATTAGGCTAGAATTACAATGGTTTTGCTTTGGAAAGCAAATTAAAAATATAAATTTTTGCTAATTCTTTTCCCTATTGTACAATCACCATTTGGGGGTAACTTTAAATGGGATGCTATGAAGGACTGCTCCTCCTTTATGAGCTTTTCCCAGATGAGAATAACACACTGCAATGTGAAGAGCATCCTGTGCAGAAGCTCTGCGTGGGCACACACAATTTCTGTGCTCAGGGGTAAATATCCCACACGGCAGCAAGGGAGAAAGAAGTCTCAGTGTTCATTGGGCATTAATTGCAAAACATTGACTCACTTGGCACTTTGGGCACAGCTGTTTCTGTTTAAGAGACAGTTTAAACATAGTTTGCTGGACCATTTTACTAAAGTCTTGTAAAATGAACAACAAAATCAATTGATTCATAGTCTGTGATTTTCTTTGTAGGCTTTTTTTTAGCCCAATGCAGGGTATAGACCTCACCCATTAAAACATTCACTGTAACTTTATACTTTCATAAAAACATCTCTCAAGATCCAAGAAATGCTGACTTTAGCAACAACTTTCTTTATAAAACTTAGATATATGAGTATGGCATACCAGGTCTTTTTAAAACCCTGGTTGAAGTTCAAAGAAACCAAGTTTTAACTTACTTTGACATAAATTTTGTGTTGAGGAACAGAGTGATGCCTTTTCCAAATTATATGATTTATTAAATCTAAACATAGGAAGAGGGTCCAGGTCTCTCATATGATAATTGCTGAGCCTCATGGGTGTTTCAGAGAGTCTAGAAGGATGTTTCTTACAACCATAGGTGTAACTTTCTTAGGGCGTTATTGTGATTTAAACTTAAATACACCAAATCAGTTACCGGAGCTGTGAATGCACTGATAATTGCATACTGTTTTTTTTTTTTCCTAAATAAATTTCAGTGATTCCCTGATCCTTGAGACACCAAACTGTAAAGCTGCTATCCGAAAGTCATGCAGCTGCTATTCTAATTCATACCCATATCCACATGATAGCCATCTCCCAAATAAGAAGTGGCTCATTTTTCATTCTTTATTTTTAATTTACAATGGAAATATTTTTTCCTGGGAGTCTGTCAAGTACACACTGACCCTCTTTACTTCAGGCCTCAGTTTGCTGGTCTGTAACAGGATGCTTATTTGACTGAATCTCTATAGTCCTCCCAGCTCTGATATTCTTTTGTTCTGATTTATTATACAACTTGGGGATAAATTTAAGTAGTTTATCTTGTTTGTTTTGCATCATAGAAACCTTGTTAAAAATTAAAACACAAGTGTTTCTACCTTTGCAAACTCTTATGTCTTGTCCCAAATCAAAAAGTATAACAAATTAGGAAATGCACTTGTTCATTTTCTTAAATTAGCACGTGTCAAAAATAAAATGTTTCCTCTTTGTAAGTACTAATTTTGATACACCTAGAGGAATGCCCTGCTCTTTCTAGTGTGTGTGACTTCAGCCCCTTTGTGATTATTTTCTATATACCTGTAACTTCTAAGGAGGTGAATTTGGCAAACAGACATCAATAACTTATGTTTATGTTCACTTTGTGAAATGTAAATTAAGAATTTTTTCTTAACATTCTGATACTTCTAAGCCCCCTTTGACTACAACTAGTTAAGAGTAACTTTCTTTTCAAAAAAATTAATAATAGGTCTATTTTTTTAATTTATAAATGAGAATGCATTCCATTTCTTTTCAAATTCTAGCTTACCAGTAAGATTTGATGTCTTTATTGATAAAAGGTTTGATTCCTATTAAATGTTCAACAACTTTTGCAAAAAGTAAACTTTGATTAATGTTAATTTTTATCTCTTAAAAGGATCCTTCCCGGCCATTGGGGTGGAGGCATTCTGCCCCAGCTTCTTGAGGGCAGGGTTTTTGAATAGCATCCAGGCCCCGCATCCAGTGCCAGGAGGAGGCTCTTTGCCCCCGAGGATTCCTGCTGGTATGTATTTTCGGGTGAAGTTTCCTGCATTTACCTAGCACTAGGATTGTGCTCACAGTTGCACACATAACACACAAACAAAAATATTTCTAAAACATGTTGATGCAAAGAAATGAAAGGGTAATTTTAAAATGAGATGACCATATTTATGATGCCTAATGTTGTGAATATAATATAAAGGGAGGAGAAAAAGATTTTGTAACCAAAACACAATTAATACAGAATAAACTCTTCTAAGCAAGTTTTATATAAATCAAAACTTGAACTTAAAATCTCAAATTTGTAACTCAAGAATAATACAAGGGTGGATATTTCACATTGGGTAAGTTTTTGGAGATTTAATAAAGTTCCATTTCACTAAAGAAAAATGATTTGAAAGAAAGGGTAAAATACAGCAAATTTGGAAGAATTTTTGGAGGAGAAAAATTAATGTTCAATTCTCCCTAAAAATGCCAGTCTGACCAAAGCTGTGTTTTTTCAGTGAGAGAAACAATGTTTAGGGTATTGAACATTTTAAAATGCAGTTCCAAAGTTTAGTAAAGAGTTTGTGGATTATTTCTAATAATAAAATCACAAATTGTTTTGTCATTTTGTAAAGTATCCAAATGTATTCCTCCCTCAAACCTGAAGGATGCAGACACACATTGTATTTCATAGCATGTCTTAGAAAAAACAATTAGGATGCTGAGTTTTGGAGTTCTTTGCTATATTTCTTATGTTTTGTTAATCATGATAACTAATTAAGCTACAAAACTGTAGTAATGATACCAATGTATTCGAAGGACTGGCCTAGCCAGCAGTATATTGAGAACATTTGAAAGGCCTGAGAGCAAGCCTAAGACTATTACACTGACATTTTTATTTTGGCTTTTCAGTTTTGACCCTTACTTTCTTAATTAAACAAAAAGTAACCATAAGTATATTTCAACATAATTTAGTTTTTATTGTTAGATACTCACCAATGTACCATGTAGTTGGAAGCTTTATGAGCAAACTATGTTACTGATAAAGAACCCAAAGTCAATAAATTTAAAATAGCAATTTTAATTCTAATGAGTTTTTCAACCTCTCTCTCTATCCCTCCCCCTCCCAAAACAAAATAATATCAAGTGCATAGAAATGTCATTGTTGTTGAAAACAAAATCTGCATAGGGCTAAGCTCTCAGAGTTAGCTGTAAATATAAAATGTAGCTTTCACATATTGATTGATATATCTCATTGGTTGGAGTTGAGGAAATGAGAATGACATATAGTTTAATGGTTTAATTCTTAATTTTAATGACAAATCTTCGTGAATTTAGGTGTAATCCAGCAGTGACTTGAATTATTCAACAATACTGTTTAAAAAAAAAAACTCTCATTACTGAGCCACTGAAATTGATAGGAGGAATATGATATTTCTATAACACATACACAGAAACAACTTTCCACAGATAGATCCAATACTCTAGCACTCTGTTATTCTAGGCATTAAGCCAAATTTCCTCTAGCTTTCATAGAAGAGAAAACTCAGTTCAGTTTTCATGACTTACATACAAATAAGGTATAACAAAATTGCTTCATAAAAAATGTATGGAACTAAACTTGTTCCTGTTCCCTCAAACTGAAATTAACTCTACTCACTTTTCCTGGCTTACATGATAAGTTGTAAGTGATTACTGTACACTTCCTCTGCTATTTTTCGGTATTGACTACTGTGATTTCTAAGGTAAAATTTACCTCTGCCATTCAACTATCACTATTTCCTAAGAATTTTCTTTATACTTCCATATAATGAGGAATGCTACTGTAATTATTAGAAATTCTCATTGTTTCATGTTCAAAAAAACGTATTTGCCATTTAATACCTGAACCAATGACCTTCCATATGGGGCATTAACTTGAGGGCAGGAAGCAATACCCCCTTGCTCAGTCATTTCCACTTCAAACACTGGCCTCAAGGTGACATTAACCAGGCAACAATTAATTTTCTTTGTAACAATTGATGATGTTACAGTACTTTGAGGATCTCATAAGATATTTATGTATAATTCAAGGAATCACAACACTTGTTTATTCCCAGTTACTTACCTTATGCAAATTTAAATGAGATATGTGACAGTATCATGTAGAAATGGTTTCTTTGCATTCATATCACAATGCAATATCAAGGAGCAATATTTTTCCATCTTTATTTTTAATTGAATGTAAAAATAAGCAAATCATTGACTCATGATACCCAGAAAGAAAACTGACTTGAAATCAGTACTTATATAATAGACATCATTTACTTATATGACCTTTTTGTAAAGGGTCATTATCCTTAACATAAAATAGATTAAAAACACCAGGAAATAATTGGGTGGAAGTTGAGTAAAAAGAATATTCATGTATTGAATATATATATATATATTCATGTGTTTTTCTAATAGTAGTTACCCAGTGAAGTAAGAAAATTCTAGAAAAGAAAAAGAAAGGGGTGGAGCGGAAAGAGAAGGGGACTGGAGCTCAGAGAAAAGGATGAAAAGATAACAGAGAATATAGGATGACATAACTTACATTGTTTAAACTCTTGTTCCTGCATTCCTCCTACTAATATCAGATTGTACCCCATTTGAAAGAATATTCCTCTTCAAACGTTAGCAAGCATATAATCTAAAATGATAATAAACTTGATCTCTTTGCACCATCTTGTTTTAATATCCACATTCTTTGATTTAATTCTATAGTCAATGGTGTTTGAAAGTAGCACAAAGCATTTTAATATACCATAGAGTACTAATTTTACTTAGGATCTTAGATACTTAGGATGACTTTGTTTCTACCCAAAACCTTTATATTTTTCACTGCCCCATATACTTACCATGTCCAAATAAAACTGGAATAATAAAAAAAAACTGAAAAAAAATCTGCAAAGATAATGAAGAAGCAATGTATGAAAGTTTCACTGAGTCAGTCTAATCTTCACAGTAATAACCATCTGATATGTAGTATCTTAAATTTACATAGGATGCAAACATTACAATGTGAGTTAAAACTAGGCTTATTTATGAAGCAAAGATATTCATTATCTAATAATTACTCAGGAAATACTGTAAGGTAGTTATACTTAGATCAAAAAACAATCTAGCTTACAATTTTTGGCCCAATTGCTGTTATTGATTATAGAAGAAAAGATGTTTTTCGCTAGAAAATACATAGAAGTTAGATTCTAGACCAAACTCAAATGTATGAATTACACTAACAAGCTTTCTCCATTGTAAATAGTTTATGAAAGAGAAAAGATAGGAAACAGCCATATGGGATTTAAAAATAGACAAAATCTGAAAAAGTCAGTATTGAAGATCTTCCTAATATTTTCTTTGTGGTTAATCTAGGAAGCTGTTTAGTTATTAAAGAAGTGTTCAAACTGAAACATCATCTCCGTTTGTCTGCCTCTGCTTTAGTGCAGTATATCCCAGTAGAACATCTCTTGACATTTAATTGCCAATTAAATTGAACATTTAATTGTTCAATGTTATGTCCAAACAATGGCAAAGATGGGTAAAGTGCACACTATCTGCAGCTTCTTGCTTAGTCAGTTCTTTGAGACCCCATTTTTGTTTCCTGAGTCAAATAACAGGAGAAATATGGACACACAGGGACTCAAAAAGCAGATTTGCAAATACAAAGTATATACTTAATAACAATATTTATTATTCTTTGGAAAGAGATTTGAAATGAGACTTATATTGAAGTAACTGAACTTTTCCATATCTTCAGAGTTAGGAAATGAATTCACAATCCAGTTTTCAATAAAACTATTAACAGATCCAATGAGGCCATTTCTCTAGCAAAGGACTAAGTGCTGAGTCACTGTGAAAATGTCTTCAAAGACCACTGACAATGATAATCAGCTTTTTTGTTCCTAAATTTCATGTGAAACCCTACCTGATGTGGAACTGAGGTAATTATATGCAGTATTACTCAGTCAAAAAAAATTTATTCAGTAGGAATATAGTTTTTATGTTAGAAATAAGCCAGGAGTGATAAATATGATTGAAACTGCAGAGAACATAGGGTCTAGTGAATATTATATCAGGTTTTAATGCATATGGAGGACTGCAGAGAAGCAGTAACACTAATGTAACTGGGTGGCAGACTTTGAAAGTTAAGGGAAATTGTCATGAACTCAATATGCCAAAGGAATCAACAGTGAAAAAAATAAATATTTTAAATATAAACTTTAGTTCAGGAAAATCTAAGTGAGCCATCAGATTTCTTTCTATGTTCAGGCTTTCTAAACAACTTTCTAAAGTAACTTTCTTTTGGATCCACAATTTGATGTTTCATAATTAATCATTTACCGACAAAACAATTTCTTCTGGCTATAGTCCTTCTAAAAATATGATTCTTTCTATTTTTTTCTGTAATAAGAATTGCCTGTCTTCATCATTTAAAGAAGTCTAATGAATATAGCAGATAATAGACAATTATTTGCTACTCAGTAAGAGAGCTCGGGGGGAGGAATGTTGCCCTTTAAATTGAAGGGTGTCTGATTGATTTATTTATGTAGTTGAAAATATTATTATTAAACTCAATGAGTTGTATATCACTTTAATAATGGCAAAGATAAGTATCTGCAACACTATTAGTGTAACACTGTTAGGGGTTATGTAAAAACATCTTTTGGGTATGAACTCTTGCCATTTGCAACAACATGGAAGGACCTAGAGGGTATTGCTTAGTGAAATAAGTCAGAGAAAGACAAATACATATGATTTTCACTCACATGTGGTATAAAGAGAAAATAGATGAATTTAATGAAACAATATACTTTTACACTATATGGCCAGTTATGAGAAGGGAAGGGGGAAGGAAGGAGGGTATCAAGTGAGCAGTGTGATTATATGGAGAAAGGCAGAAATGGGCTCTTAGTGGTGAGGTCATTATCGCATATGTAAATGTTGATTTTTAATGATGAGCATGTTGTAATTCAATACTAATTCAACGGAAAAAGACAAAAACAAAATACCTTTTGG